TCCAGCCGCAGCCATAAACTCCCGCCGCACTAGTTTCGTTGGCAGCCTGCCACCAGTCCTGACGTACCAGCCTGTCACCGCCACTCCTAAATCAGCCCCGACGTATCACGTTTTCTCCGCGACACCACCATGTTTGTTCTACTGGTATTAATTCATTTATGTAATGGTATTATTTGCTCTGATAGTAGTAGTGGTATTGGTTGATTTTTGTATTGGTTTGACTCTTGTAATGGTATAGAATGTTTATATTGGTAGTTTTAGTGTAATGGTATTGTTTTTTATAATGGTATTGATTTATTTCTGCAACGATATTTATGTTTTGAGTGGTAGTGGTTCGCTAATGGATTGGTATTAATTTACTGTTTTTTTTTGGGTTAATACCCTGGTTTGGCCCGAAGTTTGACGTAAGTGACAATTCTGGCCCAATTTTTCAAATAAGACATTTATGGCCTACTTTTGAAACTATTGGACAAATTTTGCCCAAAATTTTCTTTGACCGTTAATATTGACAGTCGAACACTATTCCGTTAGTGACTCAGCAAAACTCCCTGATATGGCATGCCACGTCACTAAATAATATTATTTTAATCTTATAATTCAATTAAAATAAAATTTAACAAATTAAAAAAAATCCCCTCTTGTGTAATAATTTAGTAATTTCCTGAAAGAAAAAATTTTTAATAATTTCCTCCCCTTCTCTTATCGAGAATGCCTCACCACCACAAATCCACCCCATTCTCTCGATCCCCTAGCAAATTAACAAGTTAATTATTATGAAAAGAAGGAAATAGAAAGATGATTTCAAAGAATGATATCAAAGCCGCAAGAAATGCAGGGGAGAGAAGCCAGATGCCAAAGCAAACTAGAACCCAATCTGTAGAATCCTCATTGGCAGGATGAATCTAAAGGGTTTCACGACGAGCAGTTTCAAAGTCTTTCCACAGGAGGAATTGTTTGGACATAAGAGCATCTCCATTGGTGCAATGACATTTGCAATTGCATTTGTTTTTTTTATTGTTACTTCATTTTTTTGCAATCCAACTCATCTTACTTGCATTGCACCACATCAATGCAATTAACTTGCAATTGCAACTAATTTTTTTGATTTAATTTATTAAAACATAAACACTCAAATAATGAAATTAATGAATAATTTAATAATAAAAAGATGATGTGGCTTGCATTCCATAATTGCATAATATGCAAGCTTGCAAAGATGCAATTGTCATCTACATCAATGCAATTGCATAATGCAATTGCAAATGAATGTCATGTCATAATGCAATTCTAATTGCAATTCCAATGGAGATGCTCTAAGAGGAAGGGACGATCCAGCAAGCAGAAGGAATCGCAAAAGATAAAATTATTTCAAGAAGAAGGAGCTTGCCCATACCACAGATCGGGCTTTGGGGCAACCCTTTTTTCCAGTTGAGACAGAGTAAACTCGTGACTCAGCAATCAACCACCGAGTCAGTATCGTTTCTAGCTGGTATCACCAATCGAAGTCGACAACATTGAGAACGCCGGAGTTGCAGAAGAGTTTCGCGACTTAAACCCCAGCCAGAGAAGTGCTTTTCGAGGGCTCCCAAGATTGACGATGAAGTTAGGCACTCGCGAGGATGCTGGAGTTCGTCAGGATGAGCTTTCCTCTCGAGAGGCTGGCGGATCTGAAATTGCTTGGACGGAGAAGAGGGAGGGGAAGGGATAAGAATAGGGATGGCAATTTCGACCTGACCCGTTTTACCCGACCTGTTTTGGGGCGGGTCCGACCGGCCCCGTAGGCGGGGCGGGGCGGGTCCGACCGGCCCTGTAGGCGGGGCGGGGAGCCTTGGCTAGTCTCATCGACCCGACCTGCCCTGACCCGCTCCATTCTCGACCCGCTCTTATCTAAACTACATGTAATCTTAGTCAAATTACTTTGCATTTTCCTTTTATTGCATTATATTTAGCTATAAGAAAGTTGTAAATTAGTGAAAACCTTAATTTCTCGAATAATTTAACTACAATTGTCATAATATTGTTTGTTTTTCTTAGTCGTATAATAAAAATAACAAATATTTCTAATGTTTTTAATATAAATTGCATACCCATTGGGTCGACCTGCCCCGACCCTCGACCCGTGATCAATTACCCGACCTGCCACGGGACGGGTCTAGGTACCAAGAAACCTGCCCATTGCCATTCCTAGATAAGATTGTAGATTTTTTAATGTTATTATCTTTTTAATAATAAAATTTATTTAAAATTAACTTAATTAAGTGAAGCAAGAGGACGGGTTTGGGGTTTTGGGATAATAAGTTGGATTTTATTTTTAATTTTTTAATTTTTATTTTAATTGAATTGTAAAATTAAAATGATATTATTTAATGATGTGGCACCACATCAGCGGTTTTTGCTGAGTTACTAATGGAATAGTGTTTGACCGTGAATATTAACGGTCAAACAAAATTTTGGACTAAATTTGTCCAATAGTTTATAAATTAGGCCATAAATGTCTTATTTGAAAAATGGGGCCAGAACTGTCACTTAAGTCAAACTTCGGGCCAAACTAGGGTATTAACCCTTTTTTTTTGCAGTGGTATTATTTTGACTAAATGAAAACAAGAAAAAGATTGAGAAAAGAAGGAAGAGAGATCTGACTGGAGATTTCTGAACCGAGATAAAGAGAGAGAGATAGAGAGAGAAAATTGTAATTAATATATTTTTGTAACTTACTAAAATGTAATTTATTAAAAATAGTAACTAATATATTTTCTTTCATACCCACTTTGCCCTTAGTAATCACCATGACTCGTCCAAATATCACAATAAAACTCCCAATTAAGGCCCAAGTATAAACCTCAATTGGGTGTAATATAGGGCAAGTATGTTTAAATATCAACCCGGGCTGGTTCACGTACCCCTATTTCGATTGTTTGTAACATTATCTAGCGATTGGTTTTTGGTGAAAACAATGATCTATAGCGAAAACGTTTGGAAAAGTAAATTGATTTGACACTAATTGAGAAGGTTTCACCCGGGGGTTGCTCGCCCTAGCTAGCAGTTATGACTTGTCGGATCGAATGGACACGTGTCGTAAGAAGGTTGTAAACCGTAGGGAAGTACAACAAGTAGCCAAATGTCACTCTCTCTGTCTCTAGGTCAAGGGAATTCAATTCAAGCCACCAAAGTAGCTCTCTTGACCTATTGACTAAGGATTGTCAAGACTTCACCCTCGAATCAGAGTTCGGACGACCAAATTACAACCAATCCTAGGTTCTAATACGCACAAAGAGGGTTGCCCTACATTAACCTAGATAGGATACAAGATTTGCCTAAGAAACCCCAGCTTTACAAGACTCTTTCAAAGAAAGGGGGTTTTCTCTCTACCTAGGTCAGAATGACCAATAGATTGATAGACAAACACACATCACAATCTTTCATGAAAATACCTCCAAATTCACATTAAAACACATCCACACACAAATCATTCAATCAATACAAACATTCACATAATTGTAGTTAGAGTTTACAAACAACCAAGTGAAATAAGGGACTACTTCATGCTAGGAGAAGGGAAAACACAAGAGAGAAAAAGGAAAACCATCATGGAGATGCTAGCCTTGCTCCTTGTATTGAAGAGATACTCCTTCGGGGAAGGAATTCCCAAAACCTTGCTTGAAGATGAAACCCTAGCTTCTTCTCTTCTTTTATTCGTCACTTTCTCACTCTAGAAATCCGAAGAAGAAGAAGAAAAAGTTTCTCATCCTAGGTCACTCCATCTTCTCCTTCAGCTCAAACCCCCTTTTTGTACCCAAGTCGGGCTGACATCACTGTCCTAGTTCACGGCCGTGAACTCAAGGCGTGGACCGTGATCTCAGGCCAAAATGCGTCGTCTCAATAATCCAGTTCAGGGTCTGCGGCTTGGGTTCACTGTCTTACGATCGTGAACTGGCTTTAGTCCAGTGAGAGTAAAAATGTCCCTGGACGCCTTGATGTTCACGCTTACGGCTCCAGTTCACGGTTGCCATTACTGTGAACTAATGTCTTCCATCGTGATCCGTGACTGCCTCCATCCTTTGACACGATTTTTCGCCTTTTCGTCCATCTTTCGACTCCGGGTTGGTTCCACCTGCTATATACTGAAATGCACAAAATCAAGATAAAATCCAACGTAAAACCAAACCTCCCGGAGTAAAAATGCCTCAAACGACTATGAAAACCGGGATAGAAAGTGTACAATTCAGCCCGAATCACACCATAACCTCTCCCTATCCCTTCCTTTCTCGTTTTCTTGGAGTAACGTTTTGTGATAAAAAAAACTAATAACAGGGTACGGTTGAGAATTCTTAGATAGTAGAAAGGTAGATTTGTTGTAGGGGTCGTTTGGATGGGTTAATTGACAATGTGGTATTTGTGAGGTCAAATAACTCACTTTTTCTATATGTGGTATTTGTGTTTTATTTGGAGAAATTGAGATTAAAATAATCTTGTTTGGATGAACGAATACAATAAGTTATTTCATACGTGGTATTTGAGTTAAATTACTATAATGTCCTCAACTTATTGCCTTCCCATGAAAGGCTAATGTGATACACAATTTCTTCGATCATTTTCAGTCTGAAAATCAAACTCATCACGATTCATGGTTATGTAGTAATAGTGGACATAACACAATGTTATGCCGCTAATTTGTTCCCAACCATATCACTAAATTGATATCTCATATCTACAAAAGACAACCTGAATTTAATTTGTTTTTAGACCGGAAAAAATAATTACAACTTCAAGTTTCATTTTCCAACCAGTAAATTGGAGTGGTCAAGAGGGCTCCCGGACTTGCAGGATTTGACAATACTATAGGCACAACCGGCACAACAACAAATGTAGCAAGAAAAATTTCTGAAATCAACTCTGAAAGCTTGACATCACATCCATGTACAACCAACATACAAACATTCGATTCCTAAGAATCAAGAAGAAAAGAAAAAAAACATATAAATAGATACCATTAATATGATCTAACGACCATCCTGAATGCTTGAAGTCATAGTATTGGAGACCAAAACGTCGGAGGAGCTGACAGATTGCGGAGTACCGGCCTCATACAGAGGAACGGGCATCTTCCCTGGCAGGTTCGGCAATGGAGCTTCAGAATTCAGAACCTGAATCACTTGCCTTATGGACGGCCTAGCACTATGGTTCGGGTGAGAACACCACAACCCAACCACCATCAGAGTCTGTATCTGCACGTCATCAACATCCATCTGAAGCCTCTCATCAACGCCCATCATCAAATTCCCATCTCCATACAGCTCCCAAACCCACTCCACCAAGCTCAATCGAGACTTCTTCGAAACCGGATCGACCCCTTTCCTCCCCGTGGTGATCTCCATAGCCACAACCCCGAAGCTGTACACGTCAGATTCCTTGCTAGCTCTTCCGGTGATCACATACTCCGGAGCCAGGTACCCGAGCGTTCCAGCCAGACCGGTCGTCTGCAGACCGAGCTCATGGTCCATCAGCCTGGCTAGCCCGAAATCGCCCAATTTGACATTGAAGCCGGAGTCCAGCATGATGTTGCTCGACTTGATGTCGCGGTGAATCACGCACTGATCGCCTTCCTCGTGGAGGTAGAGCAGCGCGGAGGCTAGCCCGAGTGAGATTCGATGCCTGACCGGCCAGCTGAGTGAGGGTTTCCTGCCGAACAGGTGCGAATCCAGGCTGCCGTTGGGCATGAACTCGTAAACCAGCAAGAATTCGCCTCTGTCGTGGCACCAGCCAATGAGCTGTACCAAATTCCGGTGCCGCAACATGCTGATCACTTTGACTTCGGTCATGTACTCCTTTCTCCCCTGCTTCGAGTCTCTGGAGATCTTCTTGACGGCGACTAGAAACCCCGAATCGCTGAGGTAGCCGCGGTAGACCTCTCCGAATCCTCCCTCCCCCAGCTTCCTCTCCTTGGAGAAGTTGCTTGTAGCTGAAGCAAGGTCGCCGTAGGAGAATCTCCGAGGCCCTGCTCCTCTCTCCAGCTCGTGGTTGATCGAAGTCAGGTTCAGCTTCTCCATTTCTTCTCTCCTCTGTTTCGTCCTCTGCCTCTTCTTTCTCCACAGATACAACAGAGACAAGGCGGCTGCCAGAATTAGGATGCCGGCAGTGGGAGCGACGATGGAAGCTATCTTTCTCGTACTGTCACCGTTCGATTGGCTGACGTCAAGGCTCGAACTGAGTTCCCACGACTGAAGCACGTTCCTCTCGAGGACGCTGCTTGTAGTCGCGGTGAAACCCACGGTGACGAACGGAGGCAGAATGTCTCTGAGGTCGACGACGAGTGATAGGGTTCTGTTGTCGCGAGCAGAGTTGTTCCCCTGGTAGTCCCACGACACGGTGAGGGTCTTGGTGGTGGAATTGTAAGCGATCCGGACGTCGGCGGTGTCTCCGGCGTGAAGGGTGGCGTTCCAGAAGGTGGAATTGGCCGAGAAGACGGAGTTGTTGTTGATCCCGACGTGCTGGAACGGAGGATCCCACTCCGGGTTGGGGAAAGTGTCGAATTCGACGTGGAGGATCTGGTTCCTCGCGGAGTTGCTGGTGGTGAGATTGTAGAGGCCCAGGAATCCGCCGGCGGAATTGGGAGGGATGTGGAAGTCCGGCGGCGCGAGGAAGAAGGCGAAACCGGCTCCGTAAGTCGATCGGCCTTGTGGGTCTATGTTGAAGGTGAAGTGGGAGGTGAGATCGGCGAGCTTCCCACTGTCCTGAACCCAAATGGGCACCTTTCTGGAGTATGTGGCGTGACCGACTTGACACATGTATGTGTCGCTGTTGAACTCGATGGTTCCTACGTTGGCGTATGCGCCTCCCTCGTAGACCATGGTGGTGTCGATGGGGTCGAATCGCGATTTGCTGAAGTAGAGAGCAGTGGTTGACGAGGGAAGAACGAGGAGGATGAGGAAGAACAGAGGATGCAGAGCCATGGTTTGTTTTGGAGAGGACTGCAGATGGTGTTGCCGTTTGGAATTTGATTGAAATTTAAAGACCAGTGGTGTGAAGATTTTAGTCAAACAGCTTGATGCCCAAGTTCTAACTACTGCGTTGTTGATTTGTAGGGGACGACTCAAGAGATGGTGATTTTAAGTATAAGATAACTAGAAAGACGAACTGAATATACATTTTTGAGGAATATGGCCTGCCGAACAGTTTGTCAGAGTTTGAAGTTTAGAGTATAAAATTAGTAGAAATGAAGAGCTGAAGCCAGGGTTGAGAAAGTGCTGGGCATTTTCTAGCTTCACACCTGCCCTGTTGATTAAGAAATCCTTTACTTTCAGGGGGTTTCAACGCCAGCTTATTGCGTAATCAGATGAGGAAATTGCGTTATTTGTCTCTAGCAGAAGTGGTCAACAACCAATAAAAACCTGGTATGTTGCGAGGGGGAAAAAAGAACAGAAAATAGAAACATGGTACAAACAAATGAAATGAATTATCTAGCAAGGTTGACTAAAAGAAGAGCGATTTTGTATGTTGAGGTTGAACCATGGTATTGATTATTGAAGTTCCGTATGCTAAGGCTGGCATTTCTGATGAATCTATAATATCCTTTCATCCATTGATTCGAAGAGAATAGAGCTGCGAACTGACTGTCGAAACACATTTTCGTCTATTCCTTTTATACGAATGAGCTTGTGTACCTACAACCAGCTTTGGAATCCATCCTGTTAGAGAATAATATAGAAGTTTCTTGTTCTAGACGTATTGTGCAGACCACACCTCTAGTGAGTTCATAACCGGCCCTACATCTTACTCCTTCGCGGTTTCCGCCTCCAATGAAAAAAGGCTGCATTTATGGTGCTCGATTATAACTCATTTCATTTCTACTTCAATATACTAGTAAAATAAGGGGTAGTAGTTAAAGAAAGGACTCTGGAGTTCAAGAAAATAAGTAAATACTTACGTTGCTGCAACCCGAGAAAGGACGCTGTCAAAATGTTAAATTTCGACAGGTGTTTCCTCTCTCAACGCATGATCATTTAGATTCCTTTGAACGCTACTTGACTTATTGATGGTTGTTGAGTAAATTTTTGTCAGAGAGGACTTAGTACACTACTCTTTGTGCAACCTCATATATCTAGCTATATCTTTTTTTTTTAAGAGCCTATGCAACCTATCCTTTAATAAAAAGTACCTAACTTGTTTTAGGGGCACCCTCTCCACTTCCCCTTTGCTAGTCTATACCTAGGTTCATTACACTTAAGACACTTCTGTTCAGCCTTACAACTCCCTCGAGACACAATGGTTAAGGCATGCTTTTGTAATGATAGAACCAAACCCTAAATCTTGTATATACTTCTTAACATCACAATAAAAATTGTGGGGAGTCTCTTCATATCGTAACGAATCCTTGAATAACTCTAAGTTGAGGTTAAAGGATTTGCTGCTATAATTATTGCTTAATTGTTGTTTAGAATTTTGATGAGAAAATACAGTTTAGCATACTTACAGAAACCCTTAAATAAAGGCTTATGAGCATCACTAAGTAATCGAGCTAATTTGTCCTCATTATTCACCCCCATTATGTCTTCATCATAAGTCGTTATAGCTTCTTCACAATACAAATTATCATTTCCAGCTCTACATATATCTTCCAATATCGCAAGAATATTAGTTATCATGAGCATAATTATCGATAGATTATCCCGGGCAGTAGGAACATTCCTACTTTGCCCTATCTCAAACACCTCACCGCGATGTAACCTAGCAATGTAATCGGGAACAAATCCATATAAGAAATTAACATTTACTTACATATTTTCTTCTTTTTAAAGCACGTATTATTGCAGAAAATAACTAGAAATAAAGACACTTTATTGAAGTTTGTAATTGCAAATGTAGTAGCTCAAGAATCTGAGTGATTCAGATGTATTTGTACATGTTTTACCCCTTCATATCAAGAATCAGGTTATGATTCTTTTGTCACATTTCAGGTCCTAGTACATTGCGGAAGGTCAGGGACGAGTTTCGGGATATTTAGAGGTCAAAACTGGCAAAAAAGTGGAGTCTGTGCAAGGTTCACGAGCTGGGTGTAATGTTCGCCGAGGGAGTGAAAATCACACCAAAATCATGAAGATTGCAAATTTCCAGTAGCTTTTGTGCATCTCCCGAGCTGTGCACATTTCACTTCCTGAGGGAGTGAAAGTAACACCAAAACCATGAAGTGTGCACAAAACGACGTGTTTTGTGTTGAGATCACGTTTTGCACTATTCACGGCCGTGAAGTAAACACCAAAACGTGATCCTTGCAAAGCTACAAGTATAAATGGATAGCAACGGGGTTTGAGCAATGGGAAGCTGGGGTTTTGACCCCAAAACACCCAAGGGGAAATTCTAGAGAGAAAGAGTGACCTTGGAGGATTCTAAGAGCTATTTGGAGGATCAAATCACCATTGAAGCTTGAAAAACATCCCTTAGAAGATGAAGATTATAAGCTTATATTGTATTCTCTCTCCTTTTCTCTATGAATTAGTTTTCCTTCTCTTAGGTTGATGAACCCTAGATCCAGATTTTGATTTGATTGTTGATCTATGTGATATATCCTATGATTTTGAACTCCTATTATCTGTTTGATTGATGTTATGATGAAAAATAGAGTCAATCAATCTAAGATTCTACTCAACATCGATCCAATTGAAGAGCTAGAGATTCGAGCCTAAGAGAGCTCCCAAATTTGTAATTACCTAGCGTAGTGGTTAGATTAGTATAGTTAGAGTCTCAATCACTTTTCTTTGTTGGCTAGATAACCAAAATTAAGCAAAGTAAGGTACATCTATAGACTCGTGGTTCAGTATTTTTATTACTTGCTTACCCTATGCTACATCTGGTCATTTGTTATACTTGGCCTTCGGTTGGAAAGTTATAGTAAGAGCAAGCTAAGTTTTTGGCATCATTGCGGGGACATTCTAGGTTATCAGGAAAAGGCTTAGGTCGTTAGTTTATCCATTTTGTTTTTGTTTTGTGTTTTGTTGACCCACTCTTCGCTCTGAAGGGTGGTTTGTGTTTGTTTTTTTAGTTTTTTTTTTTGTGTCTATAGGTGTCTAATCATGGATCTTATGATTTCAAAAAAATGTGGGGATATCTATCACCACCCGAGATTGGATACCCCGGAGCTTCATGGAATGATCAAGATGGTAGAATTCAAGGATTTGGGGCTATTACCAACCTCCCTTTCAAGAAGAACAACCATACCATTGGGGGTTTCAAGAAGCTTCCCCATACCAAGAAGACTTCCTTCCACATTGGAGCCTAATAGCCAATTGGAGCTCATGTGGAGAGCTTTGTCCGAGGCACCGAAGAAGGATGCTCGGATTTGAATCTCCCACAACCCTTAAAGAAGTCCAATTTAGAGCTAGCTATGGAAAAATTCATGGTAAGCAACTCATTGGAGCTTGCCATGGAAAACTTTGAAAGAACATGTTCCAACACGGATTTCCAACCCCTCCCTCCTCCCAATTTGACAGTACAAGAGAAGGTTGTTCGAGCTTGTGCACGCCTTTGCTTCTCACTATTGGAAGAAGAATAAGAGGAGATTGAAAGGAGATCAATGAAGACTATGTAGAGCAAGAGGAACTCACCCGTCGAGCTCTTGTGGTGAGCATGGTCAAGTGTGTTTCATGGAGACTCTCATTACTCTCCCCTTCCTAAGACCAAGTCACGAGGGTAGAGGAGCAAGAAAACTATCTCAATTTCCTTGCATGGCGTCTTGACCTCTAAAACGTGCCCGAAGACATGAATGAGAAGGTGAGAGAAGAGGGTGAAGAGAAGGAAGTGAGCATGAAAGAACAAGAAGATCTTGATTGTTTCCAAGAGGGGGAACAAATTTTTTAAGAAGGAAGGGAGGCTAAAGTTTAAGGAGAAAATGGAGTCTAAGATGAGGACCAGGTTGAGGTGGATGAAGTGTCAACGACTTACAAGTCCTACCAAATATTTCCCCCATACCTCGACGCACTACTCGAGAAGGACCCATTTGCGGCTCTTTGCCAAGCCAAGGTCAAATCATCATCGATCCCTCTTTGTGGATGTGATGGTGGTCAATACATGATGTCGTATATTGTATGGGGAAAAGAGAAGAGAGAAGAAGAAGTCTCGTGGATGGAGCCTCAACTCACGCCAAGTCCACGAGCCATCATCATCACAGTTCACACCATATTCTCGTGACTTGTGCCTCCATATCACCGAGAAGAACCTCAACTTCAAGGAGGTTTTAGGGTGGACCAAGACTTAGGAGCTACCGTCATGATTACAACATTAAAGAAGCACTTGTTGTTAGGAAACCAACCTTTTGATTTGCATTTCCTTTACCATCAATAAATCGACCTTTGTGAGCTTGTGTTGTTTGGTTGTGGACTTGCTTAACCGAATTTTGAACATCCTTCTATTTTCTCCATTGTTTCATTCTACCCTCTTTATCTCTCTTCCATTGAGGATAATGTAGTTCTTAAGTATGGGGGGTTGTTTCATGATATGTGTGTGAGTGTGAATGAATGGTGTGATTGAGGGATTTCCCCCAGTATATGAATGCTTTAAAGCCTAGTTGAATGTAAAAAATTTAAAAAATTTTGAGGGCTCCAAGCAAAGCAAATTCTCCATTTGAATGATCATAGTAGCACTTTTGGTGTTTTGTTTTGAATCTCTTGGCTCTTATCATGGATGCATGAATGACTTGTTTGCGATTGAGAACAATCTATAATGATGAATAAGATGTGCAGTAGAATCATGTAGGGGTTCAGTTTTCATCTGCTTGCAAACCAACTTGTGACTTGGTTTAATTACTCACTACTTAAAGTTGTCTATGCATTGAGTTTAATGAATCCAAATGAGTGACAAAGCATATATGTAGCATGTGATACTTGTGTCTGTTCGTTTCTTTCTTGTGTGATAGATCCCTCTTACTATGATGCATAGCATTCACATTGCCACTAATAAG